TAAAAAAAAAAAAAAGTGGGGAAAAAGAATGCGCGGTATTCATCAGGGGATAAAGGAATTTTACACATTTCAACAAAGAATCAAGCATGATGACGATGACGCAGACTACTTAAACTTTCAAAGCCCAACAAAGGATTCTTTCAACCCGAAAATGCGCAATGGGAAAATAATTCAAGTCAACATTTTTGATTCCGATGCATAATTTTTTTCTTCTTTTCAAAAGTTTGAAATTAGTCAGTTCATCTTGGTCACTCACTCACTAGACATGGGGATATGTCGTCATGAATGATGCATAATCGGGGATTCGTTGTTGAAAACATTTTAGGAGCAGAAAACCAGGTGTGCATCGATCTTAGTCAAGGTGTTGCGTGATGGTACTACTGCTGTACTTGAGTAAATACGGTGTAATACAATATAGGCAATGGTTAATACGCTGTACTGTACAGTACAGTACAGTAGTGGTACGATACGGTACATGAAGGACCAAGTGTGTAAAGGCGATGTAATGATGCGGTGAATATGGTGGTACGATGATGAAGCCCCATGCAGAGTGTGTTTATTGTATCAAGTACTGTACAGTAGAGTACAGAGAACTGGTATGTATGTACAGTACGTGTGGCGTACTACGTTAACCATCAGTGTGCTGTCCTGTTTGAATGTACTGTACTGTACATACTACGTGACGTGAGGTGATGCATATTCAGTAGAGTATACTGTATCCACTTGACGTACTTGGACTTGCATGCTGATGGTGGTTGGATCGGTGTCGCAATACAGTACAGTGCAGTACTGTATAGAGTTATGGAGTAGAGTAGAGTAGAGTAATTTACAGTACAGGTGTACAGGAGAGGAGCCCTGCACGAGTATACTGTATTGTATTTGCAGTTCATTCGTCGCATATCCCGGCCTCTATACTACAGTAGTACTCTGCAGTGAGTGTCCACGTCCGTCCACATGCACGGCTGCACGTCGGCATCTGGTGGTGGTGTTGGTGTTGCGATATACATACATACAGTATATACGAGACCGATGCCCAGTCATTGCGTGCGTGGCCCGGAAACGCGTTACTGCATGCACCTGGCTGGCTGGCTGGCTGGCTGGCTGCTGCCTGCCTGCATGCATGGGTCGAGCCATGCTGACAAGGGCAGAAGAAGGAAATTAAGCGCAAGGGCCCGGCGGCGGTGATGAAATCAGTCCACGCTGTGACTTTGAGGACGACAAGGTCAGGCACCCACGAGCCTGCACAAGTAGATGTGTGTATATATATATATGCTGTATTATACGTGTATATGTATATATATATATATATATAGAGAGAGAGAAAGAGAGATAAATCAGATGCGTAAATCTTTGTATCTTGATCTGGGGCGTGGCAGTCTGCGTGTGTGTGTGTGTGTCCCTCTCCTATACTCTCAAGGCGCCTCATTTATTGATTGATTGGTCCATTTGTGCATGGACGAAGGAATAGGAGCCCGACGAGTGTACGTTCGCCGGCTGCTTCTTATTGGAGTCCGCAGAATATATACGCGGTCTGTACACGAACGTTTACACCGAATAATCCTGTAGTGCAGTACAGTACTGCTGTTTACTATGCTGTTTACGGCCAGCCATATGCAGTCGGTTGTGGAAAAGCTGATGAAAGAAACGCCTGTCGTTCCCTCGACGACTACTTGAGAAAAGGAACAATAGGGGGCATCATCCAAAGATTTCCTGACCTATATACAGTATTGTACTGTACAGTGCTTCACTGCACATGCCTCTGCCTGTGCAGCAACTCTGCTTATACAGTATGCACTGCTGCAGCAGTCCTGGATGTCTCTCGCATCGCCTCTTGATACGTCCATATGCCGAGTTGTTTGATTGTTTCTTTCTTTCTTTCTTTCTCTCTCTCTCCTCCTCGTCCTCCTCCTCCTCCTCCTCCTCCTCCTCTTCTTTTTCTTCCGACGCACTACACTCAAGCTCCCAGCACTCTCTTCGCTTCGCACTATACTGTATAGACGAGAGAGCGGTATAGTCTCGCTGACAAATGCGATGGCTCAACAGTACTTATTGTTCATACTCTATAAGACTATAACGTAATACGTATAGTCCGTCTATGTCTCTCTCTCTGTACGATGCACAGTAAGAACCGCTTATTCGACGGCATTTGCGCAGATGCCAAGCGTCGTCGTCCGTCGACGCGTGGTGCTGCTGCCTTCCATACCGCACGTCAATTCGGGGTAGCTTGACTGAGTCCTCACTGTCGGTTTTTAGGGACTTTTTTTAGGGACGATCGCAGCAGGCAGGTCACTCTGCTGTTGGCAGTACATCAGTACAGTACAGTGCTGGTACGTGTATGCCACGTTCGTATTCGGTGTAAATGAAGACTCTCTCTATACCCGTACCGTACAATACAGTTCTGTAATTCCATGATGGCACTGCGGCGGTGTATGCTGTAAAGGGGGCGGCGAGGATTGTTGAAGTGTATTGTACAGTACATTATATAGCGCAGGAATCGGGATTTCCCTCGCTTATACAGTACAGTATTCGTTTCTTTATACAGTACTGTACCGCCCCGCCCGTCTCCTTTGCAGCCCTGCTGTTGTTGTTTCGGTGGTCAAGTTCGGGGTGCCGCTGATGATGATTGTCTCGCCCCGCCTCGCCCCGGAGGCCTTCTACAGCACGTGCAGCATAGTACAGTGCAGTACAGTATTATTCTCGGCGGATTTCATTCATCCTTCGCCTCACTTCACTGTGCCCGAGCGAGACCCATTCACCATCAGCATCCCCCCCCCCCCCCCCCCCCCCCCCCCCCCCCCCCCCCCCCCCCCCCCCCCCCCCCCCCCCCCCCCCCC